CCTTTGGTATCATTTACAGCGGCGCAGTGCAAGTAATTTATCCCTTCATACCACTTGTTATATTATTTTGAGAGCTTCATTCTTTTTAATGAAAATTTTGGCTCTGATACGAGATTCTATTCATCATTGAGATAATTGTTTTACTTTGCCAAATCAGTCACTGATACAAAACTTGATTTATATCCATGAAGTTGACATACTACATGCATGCGTCAGATATTACCATGCAATGTTTGTTAATAATTTTTTTTTTTTTTTGTAATACATGCATTATGCATTTGTTCTAGTCTACATTGATAATTGCACATGCATAGACATGATTGGTTGATTTACACAACCAGATTAAATACAACACATCCCATAAAGAACCAACGTGCGGAATAACAATGATAAAATGTCAAATGCTAATCATAAAAACATGTTCAAGGGAAAATTCTCTATTCTACTTACTTTGTATGGCAGTGAATGGCATTTTGAACGCTTTAACAGGCATCGTCATTGGCATTACCATAGCAACACATTGGTAACCATGGCAACCCGCAGATGACGCGGCAAACACGTCTCAGAAATAAAAATGCGCCTTTTTACGACATTATCATTTCCTTTCATTATAATCATAATTGAAACATTATACAACCTCCGCTTTTGAACGGTATATGGAAGTTATTAAATAGAGAATAAAATGACAGAGGACCTAGACGACTGATTTGAAATCGATAATCACGGGAGAACAGCATTTGAGATTTGATTAGTTTGGTTTGATAAATATCAAATCAACCGCTGAAAATCTGTATTTTCATTTTTTTAAAATATTCATTTCATTATTGTTAAACTTCATTATAATTAATTTGCATTGTGTTACTGTAAATTTGCGTGTAGATTTACTAGTTTAGCACCACCTCTGTTCGAAAAAACTGAACAATTTAATAGAAATAAGGAGATACATGAATTCGATTGTAGGCCCTATATAACTGTAATTATAATTTACTTATTTGTTACAAAACAAATGCAGAGAGCGGCCAATTAACGATTGTTAAAAGCTAGTCTTAGCGGCGAGACTCTTTCACCTGCATGCCCCTTCCAATTCCATTGATCCATTCCATAGCTATCACGGTCCAACTGCCTTTCTCTTACTACGAAAAAAAAAAAACTACTTGAATGTAATAACCTGTAGCTATACTCTACAATATATGATTAACAAAATGATAAGACTACTTTTAAATACTAAATTAGTTGTCTTCTACCACGCCGAAATCTTGTATACGTTTCGTAGCATGCATCTATTTAAAAAGAACAAGAATGAATCTTACTTAACTGAAGAAACTATATAGAATGTAATGTCTACTGTTGTAATAGGCGAAGAGTGATAGCATGCTTGCAAACGACTGGGTTTGCAAGACTAGATACCCATCACCAAGAATACAATAAGTTTTTTTTAGCACACATCTGCGGTCCCTTCGACCGAACCTAACTTGTATAACACAAGCCGATATATAGTCATCTTGGAAATAATATTTCCGACATATCGTTCAATATTCATCGGAACAAGCAAGACGATGACATGTGTAATACGTGTATAACAACCATGCATCATCACCCATGTTCTGATTTATCTCGAAACGACAGTATTATATACAACAAGATAATATTTACAAGACATATTTTTTACAAGAACCGTCATCTTGATACACGAACGAAACATTTACACTTCTCTTTTGGCCCAATAAACATGATTAATGGCCTAAATCAACTGTGAAAAACAGATACGAGTAATTTGAGGTAAAGTGTAAATGATCATAATAACTATATGATTAGTAGCCTACATTACGCATGTATAATGCAGAATATATGGAACACAATGGCTATAATGTAGTAATGTACCAGTAGGCAGCACATGAGAACTAGAAATTGACTAACCTAAAATTAATACGCATCAACAAAGTCTGAATATTTGGCGATCGTCCGTAAGCTGGCAATTTGGACCCCGATACTGTGGCGAAATAATTCGACAGACTCGTCAACGCGTTGCTTTATCTATCCTACATCATAACCAACATGGAATGTTTGAGAAAATAATATTCTATCAAGAATCAATAAAATTCGATGACAGAATTAGGTGAAATTGAGTTGATTGATATATTGCACAACGCCGACCAACATTTTTGTTTGTTTATTTTTATTATTTTTTCTTCAATTTCTATTTTTTTTTGTATTCATTACTTTTGAGTAAATTGCTCTATTGCACATATTACCGAGCACAAATTTGACTTTTGAAGCCATTTTTGTGTGTATCACTCATCTCATATTTTTGTCATTTTGTTCGTTTCTTTCGTCATTATCAGTTTGAGTTTATTCATACATATTGCACAATTTCCTTTTTTCTATTTTTGATTACCACCAATGTTCGTGAATTTTAAATTGATAAATTGCACGAATTTGATCTCCGTATTTCACATGTTTATATAGTTAACGTCCTCCTAATTGCTCCAAACGATGACATTGTCATAACATTGTCATTACATTGCACTTTGCCCGTTGCCCGTTTTGAATCCCCCCCCCCAGCAAAACTGGTGAAATAACAAAATAATGAACGATGTTGGTACATGTAACAACTCAAATGCAATCAAATTACAAAGTTTCTAACATTCAATACAGTTACAGCAGCTTATAATTCGGATATATACATTTCTCCTTTTTTTTCATAAGCTGAGAATCAAAAGGATAACTGAATTCCTTTTTATTCTCAGCTGATGATTGTTTTTTTTGTTTTTTGTCCAATTATCTATAACCTCACATCTACTCTACAAAAAGTGAAGAGGGACGGAATGTAGACATTGGATAGAAGATCACCAAGAAACGAGGAATAAGTCCAACAAATTATGAAGCAGAAGGAGGGGGGGGGGGGGTGTACCATTTCAATAGTTTGAAGTATCGTGCGTTGAAATACGTTGGTGTTTCTGAACGTGAGATAGACACTCATGCTGTACGTTTGAGTGTGAGAAGGGCATCAACTCCAAAATCCTTCAGCTGAGAGTCCGAAAAAAAACTCTGAGTGAAGGGGGGTACGAGTTAGCGCCCTTCTATAGCTATATCAGCAGTTCAGCACAAGAGTATATTGCACAAGGCAGATCGTATATGCCTGTTACTTGAAATTCCTTTTGGAAATAAACCTGTATCACACCACGTAACCTATGGTGTGACACGATAGAGCCCCAAAGAAATTCAAAGTGTACACCCCCCCCCCGATTATCATCTGCTATGGCTATGCCCGTTTCATGATGACCTTCCGTCCAACATCTCGAAAAACCTCTCCAATTTAGACGCAGCACCGATAAATACGACTTTTCCACGTTTTAAGTGACGCGGAGCACACATGTTATATTGTACAGTGATGAAAAGACAATGAAGTTGAAAGCGTTCACATTGTATTCACATAATACATTCTGATGCGACGAAGCGCCATTATACATAACGAGATGAACATGATTATGTACAGATTTATCCCTACACGGTTATGGGATATGATTGAATGTATCGTATTGTTTGGCGTTATGTTATTTTGGTCCCTTTTTATGATTATCGACAGATTTGAGAGTAAACATGTATTGCATTGAACCACCATTGCGACTGAAAAGTTTGTTTGTGTGCCGTTACGCTTATCTGTTTCGACCATTTGCCCGGCCCCACCCTAAACAACCCATCTACCGATAACTCCCTTTTCAAAGAAAGATAATTTCTAACCCAGACATTCAATCGTACCCCAGCGGTAGACAACAAAACTATGAGTATTATATACAAATTGTTAGACAAGACATAGCATTAGACAAGACTGATAGATAAATATATTTCTCTCTTTTCTCTAAACTGAACAGCCATTAGAGACCGATTGTATTTTTGCCCGATACAGAGGCAAGTGTAAGGCAAGCTGTAATTTGTGATGATTTTCAGAATTTAAAAATCAACCCAATTGGTGCAGACTATATCTAAACACTGGTCAGAAAACACTATAAACGTCATTGTGCATTATTGGTACCTCAGTCACATCAAAAAACCGAATCCAAGCCGATTCCAAACCGAGTGACTCTATGTCATTCGGAATATTTCGCAATATTTGGTTCGGACTGGTCTCGGTCTCGCCGGTGTGACTGAAGTAGTTTTACCGCTATAACGGCGGTTTTCTTTTTTTTTTCTTTTTCTATTTTTTTTTTTTTTTACTTGGTGGGTAGATTACATTTGTTAAAAGTGCATTTTGTTATATGTTTTTCTAATTAGTTTAAAATGTGTTAGTCAAATTTAGTGCGAATGGTAAGATTTTGCCATGGTTCACTCTTATTTCCACGGAGTCAAATTTCACTCTAAATGGCGTCAGCTGGGAGTCAACTCTATTCCGAGTTAAAGTGACACGGAAAAGGAGTCATCTTGACTCTGAATTGAGTCAATTCTCAGCTGATGCCACACAATCCGAGTCAAATTGATTCGGAATCCGTGTCACTTTAACTCGGAATAGAGTTGACTCCCAGCTGACGCCATTTTTGACTCCGTGGAAATAAGAGTGTTTGGTCATTGTGAAAACATGTATTCCAAACCTACAAACCTCAAATAACAGCAAAACAGATAATGAACTTGAGTTGTTAAAAGAACACATCAAAATACGAAAAAAGTTCGTATCTAAGATTTCGAAAAGTTTGTAGAAAATGTTAGAGGAAACATAGTGCAGCATATACGTGTCAAGCTAACATGCATATTTACAAATTTACATAATCATTCCTTATATTTACAAGTCATTGAAATCTATATACAGGGTATATTGCACATAACCCGGCCGATTGTCGATCGCATGCCATTTTATAGGCATTTTCATCTATTTACAAGAAAAGTCAACTTCAAGAAAACGAAATATTACTGGCACATTTATCACTATGCGATCCTGGTGAGCAAGTAAAGCTGATAGTACATGGTATTACATGCACGTATTTTTATATCGGTTTGATATATTTTCTATCAAACACTTCGTGGTAAGTTATACAGTTTCAGCTAGGTTTCTAGTTATGGATTTCCTCTTTCTTTCTTCCTTTTGTTGTTATTGTGTGTATCAGGAATATTCATTTGTTCTTGCGTTTTGTTTTCGTGTTATATACACCCATGTAATTTACAGTCAGTTGACAATATGAGTAATGTATACTACTGTTTTGATTTCCATTCCTCGGTAGTCCAAAAAACCAAGAATATGGAGAAGATATGCTTTTATTTTGTATCGCTTTTCCTTTTCAGCCCGATCGCATAGTGAAAAATGGGTCAACATTAAAAACATGAAATATGTACATGCATTTATGAGAAGATTTAGAAGAAAAGTAAGTGAATGAGAGGAGACAAAAGACTACGCGTAAGAAAACTATCCAGCATTGTCTGTGTTTTTTACAGCCTTCGCGTAATGATTACACACATATTTAACTAGAAAATGAAATGCAGCAAACCAAATTATTGTTGAAAAAAGGAAAAGAAAAAGAAAACGACGACAAAAATTGGCAGCACATTGAGTATTAATTGGTGCTTCAATCATAAGTATGCGCATGCGCAAGTCATGCGCAATGATAACTTGAATAAACACCTCTTTGCGCATACTAATTAAATCAATCAGGAGGTAATTAAATATGCATGCTACCTACACCACAATAAGAGAGTATCTAATCTACGTTTTTGTATGAGTTGATTGCTCGAACCAATTATGAAGGGATCTGCGTGAAAATGATCGGAAAATGATTACATTTTCCGACCAGGCCGCGCTTCGATCCTGGCAAGCTTATTTGCGTTCTGTTTTATTGCAACTTTTCCTTTGATTTTCTTTGACAAAAAAGAAAAAAGCCTCTCTCTACATCAAAAAAACATTGTAGGCAAAATTGGAAACAGTTTTTGATGTAGAAAGCTGTCTTTTCTTCTCATCCCGACTTCCCACTGTATAATCTACAGTACCTCTTGTAGTCGTAAATCAATATGATGTCATGCACCACAGCCGAACTTTTTTGTTCAGTCCAACAATGGAACATAGATATCTGAAATTACCTTAATTATTGCACTTTTTGTTTATTGTGGAGTGTTTTCCTCCTCTATTCTAACCACTCTTCATCCGAAGTTCGTATAGCAGCGTTTTTATCTCAAACTAAAAAATGAGTAAAACATAACGGGAAAAACAATTAAAAAATAAAAAGAAACATATTATTCGACCGATAGAGAGATGCAAATAATTTAAATTCACGTAAAAATTCACAATATTCATAATTATCACCCAGTCTAAATGATTATACATCTACATGTTATCTACACTAAGTCTATTCTAAGTAAGCAATTATGTCTATGGCACTGCGAATTCACGTATTTTCTTTTCATTTACAACTCAACAGAGATGTTCTGCTGGATCTAAATAATTAAATTTAAAAATGATGACACAAAACCGGTGACAGCGTCAAGTTCCAATAAAGGAATGAAAACAAAAATCATTAAGCTTATTTAGAAAGAAAAGTAAATGAATTTCAATTTGTTAAATTAGATTTGTCCTCAATAATGAGAGATTGATTGAAGATAAAGGATGGTCATACATACAAGTTAAATTCTATCAACTGTGCTATATTTGTAATCTCCGCCTGAATGCCTGCCGTATACACGAATAAAGAGTTTTTTCTTTCTTTCTTTCAAGAAGCTGGAACTATACAGTTCTGGGTTAGTTTGTGTATGCCTATAAGCTATACATGATATCGATTGGCCAGAGCACGTTGATTTGACGCGTTTTCATTTTAATTAATGAAGAAATATGAAAGAAAAAGTTGCAAGTTACAACTTGTATGACATATTCCAGCTTTAATTCTAGATTATAAGTGAAAATAAACCGGGCTTTCTTAGTGAAAGAGGAAATACTTTATTTATTGAAAGTAGAAGATGTGTAAAATCTACTGGCTGTATAAGTTACTATAGGAAACGTGATTGCGGCAGGCTTGCGGCACGAAGGCAAACTTATTGGTGTGCACAAAATATTGTACCGGTATAATTTTCATAAATTATACCGGTATCGGAGGCACTACAGCGAATTGTCAGGGTAGGTAACAGGATCACCGTCTGGGCAGCTTTGTTTCTCGAAGCAAGATTTTGTATTTTGCTCCTGTTTAGTTCTAGAAGGCTTACTTGTTCGGATCTCTTTGTTGTTTTCTATCCAGATGAGGGGCATGGCTTCTTTGGATGTATCGAGGGAGGGGGAGGGCGAGGACGAGTTTCACTTGATCCGTGTTTGTGTGGTGTAGGCCTGCAGCTCGCCTTACTAGCTTCTTGTTAGCAGTTTACTGAGCGGAACAAAGCAGGCTGGACCTATGGGATGCGCACGGCTGGCTGCCCACTTGCGTGCCTCTCCGAAGCGACGACGGGCGAGCAGCCGAGACGCGAAGGCAGGCGAGTCACTAAACCGTCACAGAGGGGGAAATTAGATTGGATGGGGAACGCAGGCAGTCATCGGCAAAGGAAATGCGAGTCGTACTTTCTCCTTTTCTCGTCCCGTCCCTCAGAGGAGCAGCTGGTCTTTGTTCGAGCTCGTGTTCATGCTATTATTCTTCATTTGCAGCCTCGATCTCACCTCACGTGGTCGTCCAATAGGCCTACTGGCCATCCTGCCGGTCGGCCGGCCGGTCGGTCGGTTGAGAGCAAGCCGGGGTCAGCGACAGCACCGTGACTGGAAACATGACATAATAAAAGACTTTGGGGGAGCCTCGGGCTTGAATAAGCGTGTCCTCTTTTGCTTTTTCTCGAACGACGTCTCCGCTATTAAATTAGGCTATGATGGAATAATATTAACCATGCAGGGAAAATAGAGAACATGCATTATCAAACTCATATGATATCTAGGGAGAAAAACAGGTTGCTGTCTCGCATGCCATATGTCACTATACATACGAGTGAGAAAGCAAGCCGAAACTCTCGACCAATCAGCGCTCACGCTTGGTAAGCGCGTGCGCATTCGTCTCGAGTCTCGCTTTTCCCATAGCAACAAATACAGCATACTCTCTCTTCCTTTATCCCCATATGAGACGCACTCGCCCTTCCTTTTCTCCCCTTTCCCCCTTGGAGACTACATCGCTATATCATTACACATTATAATTATAATATCAAACACTTCTCCTCTTTTTCTGTTGATCTCGCTCAGTGCTCACAATATGTCGTGAAATTTGTGATAAGAGCGTGCGGGGAGAGTGGATGGAAATAGTAAGCGGGGGGTAATAGTACATACACGTTGAAGCCATGTTTGCTTAGCTACCTGAGCTTGAGTACATTTCAATAACAGCATGTTACCATGGTTACGGGTTAGACACATAAAAATGGATACTGGTGTATCAAATGCACAGTATGTAAATGGCGATTGATACGGTATGGATTTATACTACCGCCCGATGGGTGGGGTGGCCGATTTGATGTAGGTCGACTGACGGTGATCTGGCTGGCATTACGTTGGTCGGTGTCTAACGTGGGATTGATCCGTCTGGTCCTCAGCTAAAGCAGCCACAAAGGTCCAGGTCCGGTTAAGATCTGGAACACCCTCGCGCTCGAGACTCGTCCTCCGGTCCCTTGATCGGCTTACCGGCCTCGTCAACCACGGCGTGGTCGTTCTTCGACGATTGGGAGGCTGAGCTCTTCAATGATGACGAACCATCGTTACTAGCGTCGCATGAAATGTTGACAATCTATACAAATAAAAACAGATAGATTTCTTTCTAATTTCTTTATCTATCATTTCTCTGAAATACATGAATAGGCCTATCATACAAAATATTCATAAGTTACCCACAAGCCTATCACCACACTTTACATTCGTTTATCATTATTTCGTATAAAATTATAATATCCAGAGGTAAAGTATGATTTTCAAAGAGAAATATTAATATCATAATGTCATGACTAGAAGTACAGGTATGATACATGCACTGAGGTATGTACGAGAATCAGAAGGAATGACATGTCAATTATTAGAATTGAAATTGAAAATCAATGAATGGAAAATGAATAAAACATCAAGTAAAATCCTAACAGATGGTAAACTGTTTCCTTAATACGCATTTGACAAAATCATTGAAAAGACTGAAACAATTTTTGCGAAATAATTAACCTACAGCAAAAAGAGAGAAAAGATTGACCAGACTTGTCTATTTTGAGATGTATCTTTCCAAAGTATATTTGGATATAGAACTGTAATAATCGGTCCATACATGTACATACAGCTAAGCCATCACATAATGCCAAATCGTGTTTTCACTTCCACCCCCCCCCCTCTCTCTCTCTCTCCTCTCTCGCTTTCTCTCTCCCTCTCTACTTTGCTCACTCTTTGTACCTCTATCTCAAATCTAAAACCAGTTGAAACCCAAATGCCATACGGTCATGTATCCTTCAAAAATATCCATTTGTAATCAAAGAGTAATTGCATGGTATATACTTGCAATTGCAACATGTAATTAACAAACGACTAAAATGTGCACACAGCCGAAACACTCGAAACAATACTGAGAACTATAACACTTGTCGTGCGTATCCGTCCCATTGTATCCCAATCGGGGGAGCAGTGTGAAAAAAGCAGGGTCAACACACATGTCACGCGGAGCGATATATTGATTTTCATTAAAACGATATAGACGCGGTTGAGCCAATCATAATAGTCGAAAATATTTCACGGCTAATAATTTCATAATTGTGTGTCTGAGATAAATGATACAGATGTTCTTCGATACAACTGTTTCCCATCATGGTGATTGATCTATAACAAAGAAGGTTGCACGCTCACTAAATGAAGAGCAGAAAATGCAACATATCTACCAAATAATGCTTTTGAAACCTGCCACTCATGAAATATTATACAAATAATGAATGGTTATGAGTTCAATAGTGCGAATATGTTCATGAGTTGAAAGATTAACATTCTATTCAACGAGGCGTCAGCCGAGTTGAATAGAATTAACGTTAATCTTTCAACGAATGAAAATATTTGCACTATTAAACGAATGAAAAACATTCATTATTTGTTTTATACAACATCGAAGGAGACCTAATAGAACGATAATCAACAAATTATGCTTTACTCCTTATAAAGATAAATTAAAGTTCGAGTCAAGCCTTGTCGGTTACTAGTACATGCAGATTTCCTTCGCGTCAGATACACGCAGGGATACGCGCACATGCAGCAGAGAGGTACGCAGTCTGCATATAACCAAAAATGCACGGCGCATATAACCAAAAATGCACGACCGTGCAATATACCATCTATTGAATATCATGTGACCAACAATCGTCCAATCAAATGACAAGGATCCACGTAGGTGTTGTATAAAATGATGTATGAGATAAATTTCACGCAATTGATCCAAAATGATAACGTCTTTGTTGGAATTCTGATTTTGTTATTTGATAACCCATTTAAAAAAATATGAAATTTTAGTTATATTGCTCATTCTATTTCATAAATGAGGAGTGATGTATCTTTATTTCTAAATTGCTTGAAGTGGTAACAAACTGAAAATATATTCTTGTGAACGCGATACTGCCCTTATGAGGAACGGGCATGTTGTATCGGGGGGGGGGGGGGTGTAATCATTTATGATGTTTAACAATCTGTTAAATGTACACGTGGCTATAGTATAGGGGAGACAAAAAACCAGATATGGGACCCTGCTATCTAACAAAGATTTGAAAATCAAAGCGTTTGAATTTGAAATGGAATCGAAATAGAATGGAGAAATTTGCAAATAATTGTTGCATTGAGTCGTATACAATTGGGGATATTTGTGGCAACCAGCAAATACAACGAGGATTTTTATGAAGAACAACATGTATTACTCACTATCGCACACGTTAGGCCTAGTGTATTCGTTTGACAATTCATTGAAACTGGAAGTAGGATGATTGTATTGACTTACCTCGTTCACATTGAATCTAGTATGATGTTCTTTAAAGCACTCGGTAGCGGCAGAATGTGAACAAGCTCCTTCTTAGCGATGCTGGTCGCGATGCGGTTTCGACATCGATCAACGAGCGAAACGAAGCTTCGTCGAGCCTGAACCAGCCTCATCTCCGTCTTCGCCGCCGTCGAACAGATAATGGGGTAGAGATCGTCGTCATCGGGTGCGTTCAGATCCTTGCAAGCCTGGCCAAGGAGCTCGCCATCTTTGAAATAGGTGAGCGTTCCCTTCCGTCCGTCGAACAGTACGCCAACGATGGTTAAGGCGTTTTCGGAAAATGGTTGTGTGAACACGAATGAGTCGCCGCCGTGCCAGAGGGTGCCTTTATGTGAAAGACCCCAGCTCTCGTTGTCTTCACCGATGAGGTTGATGAAGGAATCGGCATGCAGACGAGCTTTTTGTGAGCCGATACCGACCATCATGGAGGTTCCGTAGACCCTCGGCGCAACGGCGATCTCCCAGTAGTAACAATGACCTTGAAGTAAAGGGCGTGTCCCTCGTACCCCAGCAGCTCCGATGGACCAGTTTGGGTGGAAGAGGGCCGTCTGGTTGCGGGGCCCTTTCAGTTGTACGTCTGGGGACTTGTCCTGGGGGTTCCAACCCCAGCTATCTCGGCAACTGTCATTCAGGGGTAATATCGCCGCCATATTGTCTCTCACAGACAATCAGTTTTGTGCGTCACAGATAAATCGTATGACACTCTACGGAGAACGGGCACGGCAACCACCTTGCATGCGAAATCTCGTCTGACGGGCGAGTGACAATTTTTAGTTTCGGTTGATGCGGTGTCGATACTGGGCTACTAAGAGACATGAACGGTGGAAAATACGATAGAAACTGGGAGAAATTATTCTGCTTTCCGTCGATGGTGCTTCCAAGGGAGCAAGCCCGGCCGGGGCGGGCTCATGATGGGGTCTAAGGCTGGTCTAAAGCCCCCATCTGCTATTTATCTAATCCCGGCAACATGGCGATGGCCTCAGCCTCTTTTGTCGATAGCCGATCGAACGGACTCGCGTGCCGTCGCGTGCCACTCGACACGACTCGAGCTCTAACCGAGCTCGCTGATTGGTCGAAAACATTTCCTCGCGTGCAGTTCGGCTGCATATATAATAAGCATCTCACGACTGCCCGTAACTCTCTACCCATACCCGTAAGAATATCTCATCTCATTTGCATATCCCAATATCCGTTCTTCGTGTCTCTTTCTTCCTTTCTTGTATCCACAGGACGAGAAATCTAATGGGGGAGGGGGCCGGAGAATAGCTGATCAAACAGGGTTTAAATTGCAATGTTTTGTTCACTGTTTCTGTAAGATGAAATGTTCATGTATGCGGCTGCACGGCCTTACAAACACAGCCCATGAAATACACCAACTTATGCACAAGCAGTGTCAACATTTGATATTCATTCCTTCCCTATTTCAGCAAAATAGGCTGTCGATTCCCCATGTTTAAATGCAGATACTAGCATGTATGTTGGCAAATTATGTTATTGGTGTAATTGTGATAGCTAGAGCATGTAATACGAGAAAGCTAACCTTTGTGCCTCTTGTATAAAGATAAATGTTTCATCCAGGCAGCGCAATATACACGAAAATAGTAAATAGATCTGATCATGCTGACGTTTGATACAATATAGTGCGAGTAATCATGATATTTTTTCAGTTCTTTTCACAAACATGTCTTCGTCACTAATCACAACTGAAAGAAAAATATAAATATTTATACTATTATATTGTTTGAAAATAGCTGTAAAAATGGTGGATGGAATACAGTAAATGGTTGCGCAAATGCTTTTCAATTTTGCACTTTTATCATACTAGTCAAAATGCAAGAATGAGCAGAAAGCCGAAATTCTTCAGTTTTTCCTCTGACGAGTGCTTGGCGAAAAGCCTCAGTGCATCGTTTCTGTTTAGAACTTGTGTTTCATTCATATTACGTACAAATTCAACAATTTGAGAATCAAATTTTGATACAACTACATGTATTTTTTTTAGACAATTTATAAGGATCAGAGTTTTCTGTAAATGTATAGTTTGTCGTTTTCTATTGACTATAAATATAAGTTATTTCATCAGAAGACAGTAAAATAGAATGATTACTGGCAACCATCTTGTATTTGTTAGGTTAATCAATCTTTGAATTCAAGCGAGAATCAACTAAAATGATTATTCCAAACAGGTCAAAAAGACACGACGCCTAAAAGACTCTATTAGGGGTCCATTAACCCGAAGGCTCAAATATTAATAGATTTCGAAGGGTTCATTTGAGGGTACTATAGATTTGGAGATAAGATAAATACAAAGGCGACTGATATTTTTTTTACAGGTAGGCTACATCGATATCAGAAGTGTGTGGAGAGGGACAGATAAGCAGAAAGAAAAAAACACGAACATGCACAAAGAGAAGAAACAAAGAAGAATTGCTATCGTACGAGTGTACAAGTCATGTACAAATGAATATTCGTACTGTTAGCTATGCTTTGGTACTATGTCTCATGTTGCATTATATCGGCATAGAATATAAACAAACAGAATTGATTGCCTGATAATGAAGAGAGGAACAGACGTTCGTTTTCTCATCGAACGAAAGAAATACTCCAGTGCCAATAGTTTACTGGCTATCGCAAAACAACAAAGGTCCTGCCCTCCCAAATCCTAATTGCATCTAAGAAAAGAGCTCATAACCGCATAATAAGATGCAAATTCGGGGCTTAAATCCGCTTAGCATATTTATTGAGTCGCATAATACAGCCGGCGCGTGCCGTCTGCCAAAACAAAAGACCCGTGAACAAAAGCTCGCCAAGAACCAGTAGTCTGTTGATTAGTTCAGTTTGTGTACGACGTAACAATGGGAGGATCACAGGAGATCTTCATTCAAGTTAGATGTTGAAGGAAGCAGTCTATTTACTGTCTTGTATTGAAATAGGAAGAAAGAAATTGAGAAATTAAGAAATCAAAAGAGAGGAAGGAAGGAAGGAAGAAAGGTGGAGATAAAGGAACAACTCACAATGGAAATAATATGAGGCGTGAAGAAGAAAGAAATAAGAAGACGAAAAGGAAAAAGAGGAAGAAAGAATAAGAAAGACAGAACAAGGACAAGGAGAAGACGAAGAAGAAAAAAGAAGAAAAATGAAGAAGGAGAAGACGAAGAGGAGGAAGAAGAAGAGAAGACAAAGAGGAAAAGAACAAGAACAAGAAAATTGGAGAGGAGAGGAATAAATCATAAACATAAACGAGAAACTGAGGAAAGGAATAAGAAGATGATTACCGATGGAAAAGACTTTTGAAAACACAGAAAAAAAAAACAATTTCATCCATCTTTATTTGTCTTTCTCGTCGCAAGTTCCTACTCCTAGCAACAAAGAAATGACACAACGCATTTAATATATCAATCCATCAACCGAGGACATCAGAGCGATTTGTCCGAAATGGCGTGGATTTTAGTACACATGAACATATCCACCCCCCACATGTCTCCCATTAGTGTACGTATGCCACGAACAAAGACCAAATAGGCCTATACATGCCAATGGTTTGACTTGCATTTATAATCAAACATAATTTTGTAAGGTTCATCATGAAAATCATTTTGAAAGGTTGTTCATTATCTCCTTAAACAAAATGGTCGTTCCCAATTTAGTCATTATTTTTCATATTCCCTTAAATGCTATTATTGCCATCATCTCATTATGTTTCGTTGTCTAATCTTATTTTCATTCTTTTCATTTCTTTTGATATATTGGCCTACACGGATTGAACATAAATTCGGACTAACCATGTACACAAAACATGTTTTTAAAAAAAGAAGATTTTGTTCAGTAGCCTTCTATTAGTTATATTAGTCCACTCACTATCAATAAAGACAGTGTTTGAATTACATTTTTTTGTATTGCTTTTAAATAATTTCTTCCTTTTTATCTGGTCACATTCTCCTACATGGTTATATTCGTCAGATGTCATTGACTGTAATGTGTATAGATTCCGAATATACATTTCCTCTCTCAAAACTCCCATTTTTCTCCCCGCTCTTTCTCTCTTCCTCTCTCTCTCTCTCTCTCTATCTTTCTCTCTCATCAATCCCCAATGCCCCGTTCTCAAATTTGCATCTCATTACCGGTCATCCGCCAATTTCATTTCCCTTTGGCAGACGGCATGCACCCATAATTGTCTTCAATCATCGAATCAAAGTTAGGAGCCATGTTTCAATTCGTTGAATCAAACAGTACAAGCGGATATACATTTTATTCATTAAGCCTAATCATCATTTTTGTGTGAGTTCCGACATTTCTTCTCTCTCTATTTTCTCGTCTTCCTGCAGGGTATTTGCCCGAAATATAAACTGGACGATAACCATTCTCCTTTTCATCGATGAATAAGCAAAGTTCTTATTACATACTAAAAAAGAGTGTTTTGCGGTACCCAAAGCAGTCTCACGGAAAATTACATCCAAATACTCCTAATTCACAATTGATTATGAAGCGATATAATATATTATACACTTATACAATTATATATATAAAATAAAAGTAAAGAAGAAACAATAAAACAAACAGTGAGATACAAAATATACGTATTTTCATCTTTAAGCCTTTGTCAAGTAATAATATTTATGATATTATATTTAGGACTAAAATGTTTATAAATTGTGTTATGTCATTGTAATATTTTCTATATTTGATTTCATTTATTTTCATATTTCTCATGTTACTAATAAAGTACAAATTACTTTTTGTGTAATAACATAACAATCAATAATACATCATAAATAACAAAAAAATAAGTGATCAATATAGAGTACTGATTTAACTGAGAGAAATATGATGGGACCTACATGGAAGCAAGCTTTGCAATGTATTGGTATAATATTTCAACAGCATTTTAATATATTTCAGAAACATGTGTTTGTGGTATAGCCTACATGACTTTGTATACTAAAAACTGATAAATGTAGAGGTAGCAAGCATCGAAATCGGAACGGTTCTGCAGAACGAATGGTAATATGTGTGACAGACGGTGTACCGAAACCCTGAAATTTGACGCTACATGTCAACATGAAGAGAAAGATTCTCTCTCATCCCGGCTCTCATCACTTCTCACGCAGTCTCGGTATCATTCTGCCAATGTCCCCGTGTGCTACCCTTAATCATATGCAATAAATTATGCGTACATTTTCATCCACTTTCCACTTTCTCCCCGAGAATCCACCCTCGACGCAGCGCGAGATCGAAAATTGAATATGCAAACAGGTCCTACAGAAAGAGAAGCATCAAACCTCTTCCCTTTGTCATGTTTTCGCAGGGCCTTTGTCCCCCGCACCTCCCCGTACACAAAGCGAACAAAGCCGCAGTAATACAACCTGTTATACACTCACTGCACGCGTACATGAAATGGACATCCTTGGCGATATTTCATCCCATTTTTTCCTCTCTCTCTCTCTCTCTCTCTCTCTCTATTTCTTTTTCTTTTGTTCCTGAATATTAGGGTCGCCTGCTTATTTTGTTTCGTTTTGCCATAACTGTATCACCGCTGACCACTCAACCATAGCGGTCTGTAAAGTTTTGTTTGAGTGAAGAGACGGTATATACCAGATGTCATTTTGGTGCATAATTACGTGGTTTTATATAGATGGGGGTCAACATGTGTGTTTATAACAAAAAAATGTATCCATTGTGGGTGAGGGTGTGACCCACCCCACATGATAAATTATGAAAGAAGATAAAAGAAAAATATACAGAGAGAGAGAGAGAGAGAGAAAGGGAAAGAGAAAAAGAAGGAGAAAGGGCAGGAGAAAGAGTAAGCGAAAGAGAGAGAGAAAGGGAAAGAGAAAGAGAACGAGAAAGGGCAGGAGAAAGACAAAGCGAAAGAAAGAGAGAAAGAGAAAGAGAAAGGGAAGGGGAAGGAGAAAGAGAAAGAGAAAGAAAAAGAGAAAGAAAAAGAGAAGGAGAAAGAGAAAGAGTACGAGAACGAGTAAGATTCAGACAAAGACAAACGCAAA